GTGGTGGCAGCGGCCCCAGTCGGTCCCGGTCCGGTTCCCGGCCCAGCGCGGCCCCATGTTTTCGCCGAGCCAGGAGGAGCACTGCGCGCCCAACAAGGAGCCCGTCAAGTACGGCGAGCTCGTCGTGCTCGGGTGAGCCCGCCCGCCCGCCGCGCGCCTCCGGCGGGGCTGTAGGGGACCGGGTCTGCGGGGGACCGCAGGGGTCTAAGAGACTGTAGGCGGCTGGGTCTGTAAGGGGACTGTAGGGACCTGGACCTTTAAGGGGCTGGCTCTTTAAAAGTCTGTAAGGGTCTGGATCTATAGGGGACTGCAGGGGTCTGGGTGCATAGGGGCTGTCGGGGGCTGCGGGGGTCTGCGGCCCGGCTGGGGCCGGAGGAGCGGCGCTGCAGCTCCTGGCGGGGAATGCGGCTCCTGCTGCTGTGCAGGTTCGGTGGCCATGAACCCCCCCCCCCCCAGCCCTTTTGTTTCAACGAAAATAAATGCCCGGTGCTCGGCTGCGGGGCCCGGGGCAGCCGGGGCGCTCTGCGCGGGGGAGAAGGGAGGAGGGGGCCGCGGAGCAGGTCGCTCCCCGCTCCGGCTCGGCTTGAACTGGGTTGCATGAATCCATGTTGTGTTGCGGATGCGCGTGGCGTTGTTGTTGTTCTGCGCGCGGCTGGAAGCGCCGTCGCTTTTCAGTCGCTGCTTCAATTTTAGCTGGATTTTGCACGGACGTGACTGGCCGTGGCTGGCAAACAGCTCTGGCTCGGGTCGTGACCGCGGAGGTTGTGCTGCGATTTCCTCCCCCGGCCCAGACGCGGTGACTTTTCTTGATTCATCCAGGCCGAGGACCTCGCTCTTCCCTGGAGCGCAGGTCTGTGCGGTAACAGGAAACTTTAGAAATGAATTTCAATCCACTTGGAGACTTGTTTTGTTTTGTTTGAATAGGTTGTCATGCACTTTTCTCAGCTTGCCAAGTCCACCGTGGCATTGCAAACAACTGATGATTTATCAGACTTCTTAAGGTCTTTTTTTTTTTTTTTTTTGCTGAGATCCGGGGTAGTGCATAAAGGACAACGCTTGAAGTTATCAGAGGCCTGAAGATGTACCAAGACGTGGAAGGAAACTCCTTAACTTAGCAGAGCCTCAGCTCGGTCTCGTTCGGCATGTTTAGTTTTCTCTTTGTGTGACTGCAGCAGACTCGATAAACTAAAGTGTACTTGGGTGGCTGAGAGTGCAGGGGTAGGACAATACCAGAAAAAATGCTCCGGTGTTTACATTTCCATTTCGGGCCAAACCTGATCTTATGGTCACAGGTGCGACTCTGCTTTCCCACCCCCTTCTTTAAAAAAACTAAACAAAACCTTAATTTCCTCCCCAAACTGAGAATGCTCAGTCGGTGCATCCAGTGCCATAAATAGCACAAAGCAGCATTGAATCAGTGCTAGAAACTCACAGAACAGCTTGAGCATCTGCTTGGAGTTCTAAAAATGTAATCCAGAGTCGGCTCGGCATCTTCCTGTTACCTTTGCACGAAAGCAAAGAACAAGGGGGGGACCTAATCCTCCAAAATGAAGCTTCAGACTGAAAAAGTCTCATAACGTCTCATCTGACAGTTATGACAAGCGATAAAAATGACCTAACAGCTCAAATTAAGAGAGAGGTTTTAATTCTTTTGGTTAGATGACTGCCTGCCTAGTTTAAATGGTGATGTGCGTTGGCCAATTAACTTTCCTCAATATTGAGGTCTGTAAGATTAGTTTAATTTAGATGACTATAAGCTGATTTTTGTGCACTGGAACCAACTTATTATGTAAACCAGTTTCTTAAGTAAAGTATTTTCCCCTTTACTACCACTCCTTTTTTTTTAAGTAGTTGGGTGTGTGTCATACAAGAGTTAAAACTTAACAATAGAAGAAAACCCTTGTAATGGGAAAACTATGCTCATTGCCAGAAGATGAATATGTTCATCTGAGAGACTGTCTAGCAATAGTTGTGATTGCTCGTCTGCATGTTAATGCGATAGCAGGGGAAAGCCTAAAGCATTGCAAGTCCGTCACCACTGCAAATACATTTTTAATGTCCTTTTCCCAGTAGTCCATCATGTATTCTGGGTGTGCGTGTGTGTAAGTGATGTGACAATTCGCATTTGGTCAAGATTTTTTTCCCTAGTCTTACAAGACCAATATTGCAGTGAATAAAAACACATTTATGCAAACTAGACCAGACAGGTCATAATAGCTAGCAAAGAAAAGAGATAATCTGCTTGATTGTGAATGGCCTCCTGTAGTGTCGTCTGGTCCCCAGAGTTTTGGGCTTCCTTTCCAGCGCAGGAAGCGCATTATACCTTTCTCTTGGAGTTCATTTGAAGTAAGCTGCTGTCTCTCCCAATTAATAGACCATTATTGGAAAAATAGTTGCTGCAGAGGACCAAATGCAAAGAGGAATGATAGGTGGATAGAAAATGAGGCCAATTTAACCGTAATTGTAACTTGAGTAAATAATATATTTCTCTGTTTGATATTTTGGGTATTATTTGCCTTGCATTGCAAAACAAATGGTGATAATTGTAAATAAATATGTCGGGGAAAAGCAAAGCAGAGTTCCCAAGAGCATTGTGCTATGTACTGCTTAGTTTTGAATTGCATTGTATAGACCAGTGGTTTTCAACCTGTGGTCTGCGGATCTCAGGGGGACGGCAGACTATGTCTAAGGGGTCCATGAAAGATGACTATCATCAATCAGAAGTATGTGAATACCCGTGCTTACCATTCAAAGGGACCTCCATTCAAAATTTTGTAGGGTCTACAAATGAAAATAAAGGTTGAAAATCTCTAGTACGGACCAAACCCAGTGTAAGTGCTGCCCAGTATGCTCTTTATTATTCTTTTTTACTTAAGGTAGAGGTTCCCAAGCTTTTTCCTATTGTGTACCCCCTTCCAGATTTACCAGCTGCCTGAGTACCCCTCCCAGCGTATGTCTTATATTTTAACCCCTTAAATGCCCATTATTATAATGAAAATTAAATCCACCGTTACACAATTTCTCCTACGTACCCCCCAGAGATGTCTTGCGTACCACAGTTTGGGAACCCTTGACTTGAGGGAACCAGGCTGCTGCCATTATTCTTAAATCACCTTGCCTCTGTGGGGGCTTCTTCAACATAAATATTCCTTCCCGGTGCTGAATATGATGCTGCTGAGCAGTTTTGAGTTTCTCAGATAATTTACTGCCAATTAAAGTATCGTAAATTTAGGAGGGAGAATGGCTGAGAAGCTTGACTTTTTAGCCAATGGCTCTGTGCCATATAATAATTTTTTGGGAGGGGCCTGATGTAAGACCTGTTGAAATCAAAGGACTTTGGATTAGACCCCTTGTAGGCCAGTTAAGTCCTATAAATTACTGGCTCAAAGACTCTGACCTGTAGCCAGGGCCTGTGTGTTATATGACAACTGGAATCAATTCTGTACAATTTAGTGCAGTTAGTGAAAAAGTATTCATTGCTAGCTGTGTTAGAAAACCTAAAGTCTTTGAAGTAAACTTAAAAAAAATCCAGCCATTGTAGTAAGTTAAGTGATGCTTGCTAGATAGGTCTCTATATTTGTCTGTACGTTTTTGTGTGTACTGTAGATCAGTGGTCTCCAAAGTGGGGTGCGCAAGACGATCCATTGGGGTGCGGGAAGAAAATATTAGAACTTCTATTTATATTTATATAAATATACGTATATTGGGGGTGCATGCTCAAAAATTTTTTACTGTTAGGAGTGTGCAATCAAAAAAGTTTGGAGACCACTGCTGTAGATTATCTGTAGACTTCCAGTAACTTGTTAAAGTGAATGAGGCGGTTAACGCATGGATCATAATGCTAAAAAAGGAGCCATTACCAGCATGTAATCTTAGTTCCTGCATAATACGGGCCATTGCACATCCTTGACTAAATCTAATTCCTGCTTGAACTAGAGAGTGCATATCCAATCTTAACTTATAGGTTCTCCATCATTGGAAATATTGCAGCCTCTGGGGGGCTGTTTCAGGGATAACTGCATTCGCTAATTGTTAAGGAAAAAATTCTTGATTAAAGTTTTAGTTTATAGGATCTTGCTAAGCCTTTCTGTGACATTGAAGAGCCCTCATTTCTCAAATTTCTGTTCCCCTTGTAGGTGATCCAGTTACAGATTGAATTCCTTGACTCTTTCCCTATGTGGCATGTTTTCTCTATTTTTTTCTTGTGGCTTTTTCATACATACCCTCAGCTCCATGTCTCTATCTGTCCTGGCCAGATCTTTCTTGGATTGTGACCTCCGGAACTGGACATGGTGTTCTAGTAGAAATATCATCAGGGAAGATTCATAGGAAATAGTCTTCCTAATCATACTGGGTGTTCTTCTGTTTTAAACTAGACTTTTTTTTTTCTCATGACATTACACTTTGGTGATCAGCATGACCTCTAAGTCTTCAGAATTGCTGCTTCCTTTCCTGTAAATCTGGCCTATATTCTTAGATGTCTGATTACTACAGGCAACCCCTGCTTAGCACTCTTAATTGATTCCTGAAAAACCATGCGCTAAGTGGAATAGCGTGAAGCAAAAACCCATTTTCTCGTAAGAATTAATCTAAATAAATATAATTTGTTACCAGGGTGGCAGCAGCAGTGACGTGAGCACTTGGTAGTTCAGGGCTGTTGTTGCCCACCCGGGCTGCAGAGACGCTGCTGTCGGTCTCCACCATGCCGGGCGGGGGGGAGGGAGGGGTGTGTCACGGCCACAGTCGCGGTCACTTGGGGCGGCGGAAGCGGGGCATGGTGTCTGAGGCTCCCACAGTGTGAGTCATGGCCCCGCCGCGCCTGGCCCGGGTGCAGGTGGACTAAACTGCATAACGAGGCTACGTGCTGCCCATGCGCTGTGGCGCTAGGTTATGGTCCCTGCTTGATGCCCGTCAGCGTTATAACAAAACTTACTGAGTGCGAAGTGGAATCAGGTATGAATGTAAAATGAGCGTTATAGTGAAATAGCGCTAAGCAAAACTGCCTTAAGCGGGGGTTGCCTGTATTTGTTCGGACCAGTTGTTTCATGTATTGGCTTACACTTCTTCGTTCATATCTTCAGGCTCTTCCTTTGCAGACAAGAGTGGTATGCTTAAAAATGGTGCGTAATTCT